ACTATTGACAACAAATCTTCGGTTACAAAGACGACGGTATGTTTTTTTAAAACCATAAACGTCGAGTTAAGGTTACATGGATTGACTAATAGCACGTTTTGACACATAAATTCATTTGATAGGCTGCTGACAACATATTAGTGAAAAATTAGCTTCTTCATATTTAATCCCTGCGCTGTCTGTAGCACACAGCACTCACAGCACTATCATCACTAATCTGTTCAAGAGCCACTCTCTCCATGGAGCGACAGGTACACCTGTCAAGTCCATCTCAGATACGACCCAACCCGTGACTAGGTGTGGCACGGGTTATACCTACATTTATCTCGAGTGTCTGTCGATTGGGACACTCGAGCTGAGTCGCAGCTGATGAGCGGTATCGCCTGATGTGTCTGAGCCCGTCCGACTTCACTCGCTGGCATCATCATAAGACGGGATAGGGCTTAGGATAAGGTATCAGTGCGAGTCGGGCGAGCATTAAAGTCGCAAGTGCCTCAGGAAATGCCAATGATCAAGACATCTAGACATCAAGAGGCGCTGGTCTGCAGCCTGCAGACCAGCGCATGACTAGGGATGAAATATGATGAACACTGGGAAGATTTTCTTTGCACAATGTATCTATCAGTCGTTTTTAAAATCACATTGCTGGTTATGTAAGGAATCTTCCTGTCGTAAATCTACCGCTGCAGCCAACCTTCATCCTTGCCATTCTCCTTTGGGCGTCCTAAAGTCTCTGTAAACTAAAGACCGTCCCCACCTCCCCCTTTGACCTTCCTGGCTTTGGCCTCCTGGAGTCCTTGCCGCCTTTGTTGAAGCCTTCATCCGTCTCTCCAATTGAGAGCATGCAGTTCTCATATAACCGTCGATGTAGTTCTTCTAACGCTCCTCAACGCAATTCTCCAGTCTGCAGAGCTCTCGTTACACGCCCGTTGCCTTCGCGGCTCTCCTATTATCCCCCTCTGCGCCTTTTGCTCCCCTTTAGAGCTCTCCTCGATCCTACCTGGACTGTTTTTCTCTGCCCTCTGCGGTCCTTCGTGATCCACCTCTGTGTATGCTGCTTCCCTCTGCGGCGCTCATAGGTACGCCTCTGTACATTTCGATCCCCTCTGTGATCCTGATCTGCCTCTGTATGTATTCCACTCCCCCTCTAGTCTTTCTCGATCCGCCTCTGTGCGTTTTACCCCATTTGCGGCCCTCTTAGATCCGCCCCTGCGCCTCTTGATCCCCTCTGCAGCTCCCTATATCCGCTCCTGTGCCTTCTGATTCCCTCTGCAGCTCCCTAGATCCGCCCTTGCCCCTCTTGATCCCCTCTGTAGTCCTAGATCCGCCCCTGCGCCTCTTGATCCCCTGTTCCGTCGCTAGATTGCGGTACGATCATCTCACAAAATCAAATTAAGCAGGCGAGCGTTGATTATGAAAGCGACGGCCCTCCAGAGAGTTACCCCCGCTCTGTGTTCATATCCTGCTCTCTCCCTCTCTCTCTCTCTCTCTCTCTCTCTCCTCCCCTCCTCTCTCTCCAGCTCGCCACAGTCCCGGACGCGCAGTCGGCGCCGCTCGGCGCGACACACTTCATATCACTGTCTGAGAGTGGCTTCTGCTTCCGCGCGAATTAACACTTCCTGAACAAGGGAAGGAACGGGGAAAACGGGTGTGTGTGGGAAGTACTGGGATAGGAGAGAAGAAGGGAATTGAGCGGGAATTTACAGCTGGGATGAATAATAATCAGGGGTATTATATGAAACCTAGGGCGATGAATATTAACTTTTTTATCATATGTGTATGTAATGTGTACAGAGGCCCATTCCCTGCCGTTACCAGTGAAATGCATGGATATTCGCAGTTTTCAACTTACAGCAAAACGTTGCTAAGAAACTTAGAAATCATAGCCTAAAACAGACTCTTTCCGCAGTCAGGAAATCGCATGCGAGAGCCTATTCAAATATTTGGAAGTACGCTCGCATCAATCGCACGCACTTCCCGGATGCGATTGATGCGGTAAGAATTAAAACGTATTTGAACAGGCTCTCACATGCGATTTCCTGAACGCGGAAAAAGTCTGTTTCAGGCCTATAAGTACATTTGTCACAAGGGGACGTATTACGTAGGTATACGCCTGATTGAACAACTCTGAAAAAAAAAACTGAAAAAGTGGAAACACGTAAATAAATGTATGCGTCCGATAAGAAATCAAAATATGTACGTCTATGGTATTTAAACGTGAATGTGATTTAAACTATTATCGTTTGTCTTGCCAGTGCTTAAAGCATCAATTTCTGATCGGCCCTCTCTCTTTACGAAACCAAGAAAATATCACGACTTTATTATACACTTAACATTTGTACAACAATAAACCTGCATCGCTCATATAGCGAAAGCCCAGTGGAAAGTCTGCCACTTCAACGCCCCCTGCCTGGCCTTTTGCCAGTTCTTCACTCTGTTTCCTGCCGTTTTTCATCTCATATTTTTCAGATCCAATCAAAACTCCGCCCGCAAAGTACCCGGGCATCACTTGGGCACACCAGACAGCTTTATCACAATCTGGTTGCCACGGCAACCGACACGCCGCTGCGGTTTCAATTTCGCTGCGTCGCCAAGGCGTTAATTTGATTCTATTCTATTACAGACGACGTCCGTCGAGAGCCCGATGGCCGGAGTGTCAAATTAAAGTTAGCTCCGTGAAATGAGCTTTCAGCTCCCGCCGGACGAGCTGCGATGAGCTGCTCGGCTCTGGACGGAGTGCGCTGCCCGGTCCCGGACGCCATAGCTGTGCTACAGCTGGTCCGCCCCTGCAGACCTGCACGCTGGAACACCATATATTTTTCTTTATAAATTTAGTCCTGATCTTTCGAATTGAAGGATTCACAAGGACAGAGCTCCCGCTAAGCGAAGCTTGTTGCGTTGACCCTGCCCTCTACCCTCCGACCGCGCCATTCCGATTCTACGGCAGAATTTGGAATCCAAAGTTTAACGTGCGCACATACCTACTCACTGACTTCGCCTGGCTACGGCCTGCCACCAACCGCACCAGTCGGAGGCTCATAGACGTCATGAGCGCCTGTCGCGCTTCGAACCCGGACTGTTATAACCGGGAACGCGTGCTCTCACCACGCGAGTCCAACGCTCACTGAGCTACGGGACCGAATTTCAGAAGCGATGAGAAAAAGAAAACGATGCAAGGCGCCGCATTAATACACGTGTAGTTATATTGCTTGCCAGGCTACTTTACTTTACTTTACTTTACTTTACTTTACTTTACTTTACGGAATTTCTTCGTTGCAATTTTTCTTTTCACTAGGCCGCTCCGCTGACTGAGTTCGAGATGTCCGCAGTGATCATGCTGATCATATGATGAACAGATGATGATTACGCGATCGTCTGATCTTGTTCTAGTTAAGAGAGCTCCACTGAAAACGCTGACAGGGTTAAATAAGTGTGATCATAAAAGTATTCCACCCCCTATACCACCGTTGGCAGCTCCGGGGTCTGGAACAATCTTCTCATGTGTTATTGCACTTCGAGGTTCGAGTCTTAGCAATATCACCGATACCGTAAGGTGGGGCTATTTGAGACAGTATTTGAGACAGTATTTGAGACAGTATTTAAAATTGTTATAAAGTAAAAACCGTTTGAAATTTATGCATACTTTTTGCTCAGGCGATTTACTGCTCGATTCCACACCTCCTTGAGCAAAAATATCACACAAAATTCCAACGATCTTCATTTTATAGCGATTTTGAATGCTGTCTCAAATAGCCCCACTGTCTCAAATAGCCCCACTTTACGGTAACTGTTACTCATATACTCATCCGTTATTCCGTCGCTCTCTTTACCACTGCACCATCTCTCCGGCTCCCTCCGCAGTCCGCAGATTAGTCGAGCCACCACTGCTAAAGCCGCCCACTAGTCTCTAATGTCGCCATCTCTCCCCTGCCCGGAGCGTGAAATTCGTATTTGCAGACGGTGCGGTCCATGTAATTGGTGATTTATTAGTGCTTCTGGTGATTGATCACGGTCTCATCTCGTGGTTGCAGATGATGAGATGGATTTATCGAGAATTAACCCCGGGCTGAGCCGGTAGTTGGTATCGTTGCTGGATAGATTGTGTTATCCGAGGTCATCAGGGGACTAACTGAAGCTATGGTATCCAAACATAGTGACAAAGTGTTGATAAAATAGAAAAGGTTAAAATGAACTTCTTTACGTTTTGTACTCAGCATTAAATGTAGCCAGAATATGTAGGAAGCATATCAGCGGAAACAACACAAAACTGACAAGGCTAAGGAGTTGCTAACTATTATTAAGACATCGTGCAGCTCTACCTTGTCATTCAATTCCACGTGTTGGACATAGTAAAACGCCGAACACCATTATGCATATATTTGCCATACAAACCACTGTCATTGATACCTGATAGATGCGTACGCAAATGTCAGTTTCAATCATATACAATAATGAATAAACTGACCTCAAAATAAAGATACTGACCCAGGAGTAAGCCGAACTACTTCCATCCATGAATGAATCCTCGGGAAAAAATAATCATCGTAAGCATTTATAATGAGTTTTTCATGTTTCACCTTAACTCAAACGTTTCTTCACAGGCAACTTTTCTATATATAGAGCACCGACGGCATATGATCCACCAAAGATAGATTTTTATAAGATGTCGTTAGACGACATACGATAGCATTGGATGACATAAGATAACACTAGAAGACACAAGATGCTTTTTCGTAATTTAGGCCCGCAGTTAATCCTGCCGAGTCTAAAACGATGGATTTTGGAATCTAAATTAGTGATAAAACAATCTAAAGCAATCCTCCACTTTCAAACAAAGTCAACAACTCTTTCCAATGGCATTACTTGTAACCTCTAGTGGAAAAATCATTGAGTAAAAATAGTCTGCAACAGCAACGATATCATGCAACCCAGGAATGAGCTCAGCAAAATCCTGACCTTCAGCAGATCGCTACTCTACAGTCAAGCCCTCCTGATCATACCTACCAGGGCACCGAGTTTGCATCGACCACATGTATGTTGTGCGGATAACACTGCGGCTCCGAGACCGAAGAGTTGGCGGCTCCGTTTTGTCCGCTACATAGCACGAGGATCCGTTGACTGGATATTTGCCGCTTCAGCGTTCCTGCGATGGAATTGAGAACATCCGCTGACACATCCAGCCACAGCACTTCGAGGGACTTGCACTCGAGCGCCAGCTTCCTGATCCCCTTCTGAGAAGGGCTCACATCCCCTTCTCCAGTGCTGCCAAGTCTCAGCTTGGTAAGATGGCAGTTCTTCAGCTTTGCGAGAACCGCTTCAGTGACATCGCTGACTCCGCTCAGGTCCAGCGCATCAAGGTGCCGAAGCTTCGGTAGGTAGCTCAGAAGACCATCCTCTTTCACCGAACGGCATCCTTGTAGACTCAGTGAGCGAAGCTTTGGGAACAAGCGAGGTAGACGTCGAAGTGAGTTGTTGGTCAGCCCGCTTTGGTTCACATTCAGAGAGACGAGGTTCGGAAGCCCGGTCGGTGGCACCAGCTGTTCCACCGGCGGCTCCAGCTCGGCCACGAAGAGTTGTACCAGCAGTGGACAGCCGCTCAGCCCCAGCGCCAGCTCAGAGGCACTGATGTTGGTGACTCTGGACAGGTCCAGATGTCGCAACGTCGTACACCGGGCCAACTGACGCAGACTGGCTGATTCTGTGAAGTGGCATCCAGCGAGATGAAGCTTCTCCAGCTTCCGGCAGCCCGAAACGAGAGCAGACAGGTAAATCGGGTGAATCTGGCGGCTCAGATACACACTGAGCTGATTCATTGCTTTCTCGTCCTCTTGAGAGTTGGCGGGCGGCTGACTGCCACCGAACATAAAGATACCAGTGGGACAGCTTTCGAAAGCAGAATCACCAAATGACGCTGCTCCAGCTGTAGGCATGAACACTCTTTGCGTTTGGATGCCTGGTTTCGTTGAGCTATCGTTTGCACATCCTTCCGCTGGCTTCACATCTGCTACTTGCTGAGCTTGTTTAAGCTCCGATTGCTCTTTTAGAGTTGTTCCCCCAGGCTGCACCTTCCTCATTGCGCTTCCCAAGGAAGACACAGGCGATGCAGTCTTTGTGTTCGGCGTTTCCCCGGGTCTTCCACTCTGCATACCTGCTGGGGTCGCTTCATTGCGCCGGCTATGTTCGTCGCGCTCATGACTGGATCCGGTTTGCTGCAACGATCCTGATCTCGAAACATCGAGTTCCCGGAGCTCTGTGCATTTGCTCAGCTGGGTAAAGGCGACAGTCAGGTCCATTTTGTCCAGTCGGACTGCGAGAAACCGTTCCAGGCTCGGGGTTCGAGTCAGAATCGCAGATAAATGCACTGAACTCAGTCCACGAACATCTGTGACGTCCAGCTCCCGCAGATGCAGGGGACTCAGACTCGGAAACGGCATGAATGCCGATCCCTGAATGTCGCACCCCGCCAAAGAAAGCCGCTCCAGTCGTGGGATGGTCATGACGGCCGCTAGGTCAGAGACCTGTAGAACTCCCAGATGTGAGACATCTAGATCGCGAAGGGATCCGCACAGCGCCAGTTGCAGGAGGCAGGCCGACTGAAGACCCTCACATCGGGACAGAGAGAGGCACTCCAGGCGAGGGAACAGCCGAAGAATCTCGATGAGGTCAGCACCAGTAACGCTTGTGAGCGAAAGGTCCAGTTCACGAACATCCCAGCAGTTGGGCTGCTTCGAGCAGTCGTCATGTGAGCAGTGAGCTTGGCGAAGGTCTTTGATTCTTAGCTGGTTACAGTTTGCCAGGGAAATCTTCCTCAAAGTCTGATGGAACTGCTTGAGGAACTGCCCTGTCACCTGGGTTGAGGCCAAGTCAAGTGATCGCAGATGAGGCAGCTTTTGCAGAAGGACGTTCACATGTGAATCGTCACACTTCCTAGGTAGCTTGACTACCTCCAGCTCTGGGCAAGCGATACACAGCTGCTCAAGGGACCAGGTATCAAGGCGGAACCTGGTCAAATCAATCTCCGTCAGGTTTCTACAGTGCTGACTGACGATGTCGACGTCAAGTTTTCTGCCGTCAGGACGCCATTCGATGCGGAGACATTGCAGGGCAGGCATGACTTTCAACAGCCTCTCCAGTGTGTCATCCTCGAGAACAGCCGGAAAGTCAAACTTGCCGATGACAAGTTCTGTGCGTTGAGCCAACGAGGCACTCACAGAATCCCTCCAAGTTTTCGACACTCGTTGCGTGCCCAGCATTTCTTCCCATGTCAGGAACGATAGAGCGCGTTGAATGACGTTCTGATCAACGTCCTGGCCAGCACCCGACTCAGATGACTCACCGCACTCCGAGATCGCACCTAACACAGCTGGTTGCGTGCCACCATCATTCGGCATGGCCCCGGCAGAAGTTTCCTGATCAACGACGTCACTTGCACACGCTGAGCCCATAGCTTGACTACTGCTGTTTGAAGTATGTTGCTGCTGTTGTTGCCCACTAGCTGGTTCTTGTTTGTCTGTGTTTTGCGGATCATCAAACTGGCCAGGCTCCGGTGTAGCTATTTGGGGCGCACTTCGCTCTTCCCGCTGTTTCGGGCCTGCCTGATGGGTGACTCTTTCCGCTGTTTCGGGCATGCCTGATGAGTGATCCAATCGACCTCGAGAGCGATTGCCAACGTCTCCCGGGCTGCCTTGAGAGTCTTGCGAAAGACCTGCAGACCTCGGTTTGTCATGCTTATTAGGCTGTGAAGTGATATGAGTAAGTTGTTCGTACTTGTCACTCACCTTCACCTGAGTTGCTTTGTCAGATGTTCTTTCTTTGACCGCTGTTGAACCTGCGTCAGCGCTTTCATCAGAGGCGGCAGCAGGCTTACCGCAGTTACGGTTTCTGTCTTTTTCGTCCGAAGCGCTACCTTTTTTGGATTTTCCTGTTGATCTGGACCCCATGTCTTCGGGCGTGGACGAGGGATCTGCCTCTCCCTTAGCGTTAGCAGAATCATGCCGTTTTGCGTCTTCATTGCAAGGTGTGCTTGTCACCAACTGTTTGGGTGGCAAAGTTGGTCTTGCAGAAATCTGAGAGCTTTGTAGATGTCGTCCGCGGCCACGTCCACGATAGCTCCTAGTTTCAGTGCTTTGGGAGTGCAAATCCTTTGCTTCTGTGGCTGCATGGTTCATCTCAGCGGCCACGGATGCGCCTTGGGTGACATGACTTTTATCCGCTACTCCTGGGTGATGTCCCTTGCTTCGATTGGCGGAAGCCATCCGCTGGCCCTCGCTGTCGTAGGACTTCCAGGTGGATCACTGGTTACCCTTCACTGGCAGAGCGGCGTTGACGATCAAAGACTGCTTGCTCGTCTTCTGAAGCGGAGTTGAAGAGTGACGAGCGCTTCTCTGCTCAGCACACACTCGACTGCTCGACAAGTTTCAAGTGTGCAGCTTGTCGGCACCCTCTCACAAGGCCCTGCTATCTTCAACAACGAAACTCTCCGGCGGGGGGCTTGGTGTCGGCATTTCCTGTCTGGCGAGATAAGCGAGCATGCACGTGGTCCGAGGCCTGGTGAAGTACCGCTCTGCAGCGGGCACAGCGGCTGACTCTGATTAATTTTTATGATCGCGTCATGTTTTATCTACATGGGGTTAGCCTCCAGGCATGAAATCTGCACGATTTCTATATTCCATCCATCAATCAACTACCATCATACTTTTCGAATATAATGTTTTGGCTATTTGTGCGCTTTCATTTATCAAAATATACTAGTACACAGAATGCAGTACGGCAAATAGCAATGTTAGAATGAAGGACGATAGTGCACGATCAATATATTCACAGTTGATAAAACAGTTTGTTGTAACGGTCAACGGACCGGAATGCAATCCTCATCAATAAATAGGTAATCGTTTTCTAAATCGAAGTGTAAATGTAGCTGACTTACACACTTTCCGATGCAATAATAAATGCATCAGGAAAAGTTGTTTCCCTTTTTGCCTTCACAGGTCGAGGGTGGCTGACCCCCCCCCCTGTGAGGTCACGAATAAGTGAAACGAACTAGGTAATAGGTATGTAGGTACTACAAATCTATACCTATAAGGCAAATGCTCACTTTAGAAGCGTTCCAACTTTGCGGTGGAATATAACTAGTAATCCCACATATGCAACGATATCTAGAGAGAAAAAAAACGTAAGCTTGTGTCTGATTTTAGTCGGGAATCAAAAACTACATATCATCGCCGTTTGCATCGACGGCAAAAGAGAATCACTCGCTGCCACGGATAGTGTTACCTAGTGGATAGCTTCTTAAGCTCTAGTATAGCTTAGCTGCCGCCAGCTGTCGCTGTTATCGCCACCGGCTCTCCACCACGCATCACTGAAACGGAAGGGTAGGCGCACTAAAATCCAATGAGACCCGAATATCAGTTCTTTTGTCCTTTCTATCCACATTAGTAGACCTCTTCATTCTTAATCAGATTTCCCTGTGTGGACTGTGTGGACCATAATCAGATTTCCCAGAAGTCAGTCCTTCTGGAAGGTGGACGACAGATCCTAGACGTGCGCAACTTCTCAGGGGTGACCGTCTGGGTGCAATGGCTGGGTAATGGGTGGACTGCATGTCCATCGGGGTACACACAGATTACAGACCTGAGACCACCGACACTTTTCTTGTAACATTTCTAATTTGGTGTGTGACGTCATCTTTGACCGTCTGACCTAAGCCGTAACGTCACCCTCGGCCTGATTGACTTGAAATGTGATGACATTTAGGTATGTATGACCCGTCTGAATGGAGCGGTCACCAGTCAACTTGTTAGCACGCATTTAGCACGCAGATGGCTTTATATAATAAAGACTGTATTTAGAGCCTTGGCAAAGACGAAGAGGCAATGGATCCTTGCTAAGAATGTGAGGAAACATGCATCCATTTACGAGGGTGACACGCGTAGCTTTACATATACGGCTCCAGCACGCATGCAATGCATGGAGCCGACGGCTGCACCTATACCGTCAACAGATGGTGCTCGGTGCCACAGACTCGTTCAGTTATCTCGGCTCCATCTCTTCACGGCTCATCTCCCCCGGTCTCCCCCCCCCCCGATCCCCCCCCGTCAGCACCCTCTGTCGCAGATGTGCCTCGACGCGCCACCGCCAAACAACGCGCACGCGGCCACCACAAAAGCGCGCCAGGCCGACAACAAAAGCGCGCCAGCGGGCGACAAAAGCGCGCCACCCGGCTACAAAGAATCACTTGCTCATTTGCCGCTCTGCTGGTGCTGTATGTTCACGGCTCATATGCCTTCAACTAAGCTTTGTTTAAATGCAAACTTCGCTTATTACCTAGTGATAAGGGAGCCACCGATCTGGAAAATGTCTTGTTATCAAGCCGTTTTAGTGTGCCGGACGGGTGTAAGTCCACCAGGGCTCACTGTCACACTATCCTGATGCCTGATCTAGCTGAGCTGCTTGAGAGTGGTTACCTGTAAAGTTTTTTCATCCGTCCGTATTCCAATATTTATCAAACTGAATAATTTAGAAGGACCACGCATTCTCGCAAGCCATGCCTGAATGTTTTTATTCTTACTGGATTTTTTCGTTTTCTTTTCGTTCTTTTTTCTGCTTTCATCTTTCGGGGTGTTCGAATATATGAATGTTCGATGTTTAGAAATTGACAAGGTGTACATTTTGGCCAATTGGCTATAGGTACCAACTACCAAGCCAGTGTTGACTATCAATCTGTCTGAAACAATTTTACGTAAAACGTCCCATTCGAAAGATACCCCGATGGAATAAATATATAAGCCAACAAGACTAGGAGCATCATCCCTTATTCTCCCCCTCTCCACCCCTATTTCATCGCAAATGAAGTCAGCTAGAGAAG